TCCTGTGTCCCACCAAGACCGGGAGGGCCATTACCCTGCGTATGGGAGGGACACTGAGACAGCATGGGAGCTGCCGGCAGGGAAGGCAAGGTCAGGTCCAGTCCAGGCCTCCCTGCCCTATGTAGTGCCTGACCACGCAGCCTTGGCCCTGACCCTCTCCCCTGGCCTCCGGAGGGCACCTGGCCCAGGCCAGCACACACTGCCCCACACCCGGGAGACAGGGCAAGACATGGCTGGGGTCGGCCCCGGTGGCCATCCCCAGTGGGGTGAGAAGCGTGCCTAGGCAGCGAGGCGTGGTCCAGAGGGCCAGGGGCCAGCTGCTGAGGGGCCTTTCTTGACTGCTGTTCACATCTGTCCATAGCCAGGCAGGGGGGCCTGAAGGCGGGGACCTCACAGGTCTTGACCCAGCCCTGGGCCCTGTCCCGTGCCTTGGAGATTCCTCGGGGACTGCCTCCATGTTTGGGGTGCCTTTCTGAACACGCGGAGCCTGCCTGCCTCCCTGCCTGCCTCCGAGCTCCCCTCACAGCTGCTCTCCTCGCGCATGCACACAGGGCCAATGACACACCCAGGTGCCACATCCTCCAGGAAGTCCTCCTTGCTCCCACCCCACTCATCCCACACTCCAGATCTTGGGGGGCCCTGTGAGCACACCAGCCCTGCCGCACCGAGGACGTGGTGGTAGTGTTTCATTAGACGCTCCTGTGACCCCATGACCCCCACCCCATCTCCTCTGCTCGCGGGACTGTGTCCTCAGGACCAGCGCTGCTGGCTGGGCCTCTGTGGACAACGACCCTGGGGACAGAGGCCCTGCTCTGGCTGAGGCTGAGGGGCATGGGGCTTTCAGAGCCAGGACCCAGGGGGCAGAGGCCTGCTTAGCCCTGGAGTCGAGCCCAGGTCAAGACCACGCCCTTTCCTCTGCCAGCCAGGTCTCTGCGGGGGCGTGTCCCCACCCACTGGATCCCTGGGGGCCCCACAGGCCCCTCACTTCGCCCTGCCCTGATCCCTCTGTGGTGACGCCCTGTGATTCGCCTGGAGCTGAGCTCCTCTAACCTCGCTAGGCACTGGGGGCACAGGAGACACGCAGGGAGGGCCAGCCCCTTTCGGCCACACCCGATGCTCCCAAGGCCGCGTGCCCCCACACCCATGCCAGGCACCCTGTCCTGTCCCCCTGGTGACAGCTGCAGTGTGTGCCGCCCGAAGCCAGGCCTGCTCGGACACCTTTGCCTGGGAGCGGAGGGCAGGGGCCCTGGGAGGCCAGGGTGAGGCTGGCCTGGCTGCGTGCTGGCCTGGGGCTGTCTTCCAGCACCTGCACCTCCGTATTCTTGTCTGAGCAAAAGGCCGAGCCAGCACATTCATCTCCCGAGACGCTGAGGTCATGCCTGGAGACTAGAATCAGAGAAACAGGACCTGGGGGCAGACCTTCAAAAGGCGGAGCTGGGGGTGGGGTGGGGGGGGCGCTGAGAGGCTGGAAGGCTGGAGAGCTGGTGCCTGGGGGCCAGAGGGATTGGGAAGTTGGAGGGATGGGGGTACCGGGGGCTGGGGGCTAGGGACTGATGTCTGGGGCCTAGGGAACTGGGAGAATAGGGTACTGGGGGTATAGGGGCCTGGCAGCCTGGGAGGCTGGGGCCTGGGGCCTGGGGCCTGGGGCCTGAATTTCTGGGTGTCTCAACCCTAGAGGCTGGGGTGCAGGTCCAGCCCTCAGCATCCCCCACCAGGAGTCCTGCAGAGCACTGACTGCCCAGCCTTTCGCTATAGCAGCAGTGGCCACACACACAACTGTTTTGAGATGCGTGCCCCGGCCACACGCGGGCGTGGAGGGTGGACATGGCCCAGGCCGCCCTGCCCTGGCCAGGAAAGGGCCCGTCCCCCAACTGCTCACCAGCAGGCCTTCCCTCCTGCCTCCCTTCGGCCCTGAACATGGCGCCAGGCCAGCAGGTGAGCAGTTGAGGGATGGGCCTTCGTGCTGGTCTGAGGCCAAGTCAGCGCTGGACCTGCATGGGGAGAGAAGAGGCCAGTCTCCAGGGGACCTGAGTTGCCTGAGGCCTCGACGCCAAAGTGGGCGCCCATCACCCACCAGGCCAGGGCTGCAGCTGAGAGCACCCCAGCCCCAAAGGAGCTGGGAGCCCAAGTTGGTGGGGGCATTCATGGGGGGCTAGGGGGTGCCGTGGCCTCGGGCTCCCTCCAGACACACTTTGCCACAGCCGCAAGGCAGGAAGCCTCTGCTCCAGAGTGGCCACAGGCCACATACCCACCCTGGGCGACCGCGCCAGGAGGAGCAGGGCAGCTGCCTCCGGGCTGGCTAGAGAGTGGGAGGTTCTGGCTAGGGGGCCAGAACTACCAGGAGAATGCCGGGGCCAGCACCACTCACCCACATGCCCAGGGCCAGCCTCGGCCCAGCTGCTGCCCTGTGAGAGAAGATTCCAGAAGCTTTCAGAAGGTCCACCCCAGCCCTGGAGCCCTGTGGGCCAGCCCAGAGAGGCCACAGAGGGAGAGAAGAGCAGGGCCTGTGGGGGCTCTGGCCCATTCCCTGTCCCAGTGTGGAGGGACGTGTTAAAGTGGGTGTCCACGTGGCAGTGATTTCCCAGCAGGCCGCAGCCGCAAATGGGATGGGGGGCGTGTGGGGCCTTAGAACCCATGCACTTGGGCCAGGCAGGCAGGACCCCAGGGCTCAGGGTGACCCAGCCACCCCCATCTCTCATAGACACTTGCAGTCCTGGCCCCCACCATACCCCATGGCCCCTACAGCCCCCCACGGCCCCCTCATGGATCCCATGGGCTTACATGGCCCCACACGGGCCCACACAGGCCCACACGGGCCCTCACACCCTCACATGGCCCCGCATAGGCCCCCCATGGCTCCACATGGCCACACATGGGCCCACACAGCCCTCTAGGCCCCACACGGCCCCGCACGGCCTGGCCGCCTCTACTGTGTGGAGGAGAGGAGACTGTTTAGTCTGCTGGCCACATTCCAGGATTTTTAAATAAATACGGGTCATGCGCCAGTCCAAGCTGTCGAAGCCAGAGGCCGCGTGTCCCCTGGGGGGTGGCGGGACAGAGAAGCAGCCACCTGGGAACTGTTCAGCACTGGTGACAGCAGAGGGGCTGAGGCTCCTGGGCCCCCTCAACGTGACTGTGGTGGCTCCACCTGAGTGACTGTGAGGTCCTCAGTTGCAGTCCCATGACTGGAGGAGAGATGGAGGTGGGGGGACACTGAGCAACTGCAGACAGAGCGAGGATCTGACGCAGGCCTGGCACCCCCGCCTACACCCGCCTCCGGCATTCCTCTGGGCTCACACCCCTGCAGCCGCCACTGGCTCCCCATCTCCATTTCACCCTCTGCTGGGTCATTTTATACCTCTATTCCCTCTGCTAATTTAAACTAATTAAAGTATAAAATAGAATAATTGCTTCCATCCCTTCCTCTCTGTGAGTGTGGGGCCAGTGCGGGGAGAGGAGGTACAGCGCTCCCATCGCCGGCCACTGCTGCCTCCCAGCACACGCCACGGCACGGGCTGAGGTCCCAAGAGGCACACAGGGTGACGCACCGGAGTGTGGAGCCTTGTCAGCAGGAGTGGGGCCCGCCCGCCCCGGGACACCACCTCAACCATTAACACAATTAACGGGACTTGTTAGGTGAGTCACTCACAACCAACACTTCCAACTAGTCCTGTTTCTTAATTACAAGTAATTAGCAGAGAGAGCAAGCGAGAGTGAGAGCAAGGAGGAGCAGGAGGAGGAGCAGGAGGAGGAGGAGCAGAAGGATGATGTGCAGGAGAAGGAGAAGCAGGAGGAGGGGGAGTGGGAGGAGGAGCAGGAGGAAGTGGGGGTGGAGGAACAGAATGAGGAGCGGACGGGGAGGAAGAGCAGGGGGAGGAGGAGCAGGAGAGGAGGAGCAGGAGGAGCAGGGGAGGAGGAGCGGGGGTGGAGGAGCAGGGTAGAGCGCCGGTACAGAGCCCTGTTGTGGCAGCTGACCTAGCTCCGTTGGGAGGAGACTCCAGTGTGGGTCCACACCAGGGTCTGGGCGGGCACTCAGTGACTGGGCGCCCAGGGACCCTGCTAGCCCATGGCCTGTCCACGGCCTGGAGGGTTGGCATGAGCCCTAGGGCTTCTGGCCAGCAGCACAGGTGTGACCCTCACTCCCACCTGCCCTGCTGCTGCAGAAGGGGCTCAGGCTCACAGGCTGGGGGGCTGCTCGGGGACAGGGTTTGGGTGTCGGTGGGACAGGGGATGACCTGATGTTCAAGCAGCAGCCATGGCTTGTGAGCAAGGGACGGGGTGGCCCCAGCTCTGAGGGCCCCTGTGCTGTGGCCGGAGGGTGAGCCAGCACACAGGTGAGCCCTCAGCCCCAGGACGCCCCCACAAGCCCTTCCGCCCCTCGGCCCAGGAGGCAGGAGAGAGGCAGGAGCAGCTGGGCCTGTGGGGTGCAGGACTCTGCAGCTGGTCCAGGCTGATCCTCTTCCCAGGAGACGCTGGGAAGGGCCCCAGACTGGACTGGGTGGTTCCGGGAGAGGCCAAGGCCGGCTCCTGCCCCCTGCACCCCCAACCCCCGCGCCCCTGCCACAGCTCCCATATCTGCCCCTCTCTGCTAACACTCAGAGTAGTCGGGACACAGCTCCATGGAGGGCATTGGGGCACTCAGGGCCCCGCTACCCCCGCCAGGGCTCAGAATCCCCCACCCCACCAGCCCGGCCAGTCCCCCTGCTGTGCGGCACACACTACCAGACTGAGGTACCAGCTGAGGGCCTGTCACCCAGCACTGCAGCCTCCGGGCCCAGCTCCTCACACCTCCTGCTGCCTGGGGCAGGCGCAGGGCCCAGCGCGGTAAATCTGCCTCCTGATCACAGCAGCTGCTGCTGCAGGACGTCGGCTGCCTGGAGGCCATCCATCACCGTGAGGCAGGGCCCGGCCCGGAGAGGGGTCTCTGGGCCGCAGCCCCCAGCTCCCTGTTCCTGGCACGGCCTCCTGGAGTGCAGCTCTGAGCGGAGGCGCATACCTACCTGTCGCTCAGACATGACGTACAGGTAGCGCTGGTCCACAGAGAAGGCCATGTCCCGGAGGATGGGGCTCCCGTCCTTGAACACGGACACCACCTCGTACTGGACCCCGCCATGCGGAGGGCCGTCAGCCCGAATCTGCAGGAGAAACAGGTTGTGCTCAGCCTCTGGATGCAGCTGGTCCCGCCCCCGGCACTGAGCAGGCCAGGCTGCACATAGGGGCCCAGCTGGGGTCTCCCTGAGTAGGTTCCCAATGGGGCCCCGCGAGCGGGCCAGTTCTGCGTGAGTCAGTCCCCTCAGGGACCCCACACTTCAGGTGGGGTGTGCGTGGGGGCGGGTGTCGCACCCACGGGGTCTGGGCTGAGTCTCTGTCACCCATCCCATCAGGTTCAGGACTCAGATGTCCAAAGCCCCCAGACATCCCCAGTGACACATCCCCAGCAGTGAGAACCAGGACGTCCTCCCAGACATCCCTACCACAGGAACCATCCGAGCCCCCAGAACCAGATGCGGGGCTGGATGGACAGAAGGGACAGAGCGCCTGGCCCAGGCACATGTCCGTTCCCCGTCTTGGGGCCCATCCACCCAGCCTGTCCTGTGCCCTGCCTCCCCAGGGAGCCACTCCAGAGGCTGTGCCAGGAGTTCCTCTTCTGTGCCTCCAGCAGCAGCCAGGGGCTGTGTTGCTGTGACTGCTGGGACTTCGAGGACATGGGTCTGGAATCGCCCCGCCTCCCAGCAGGCAGACTGGCCTGGGCCCTCGTCACGCACAAAGTCGGCTGGTGTCTAGCGGGCGCTGGTCCCACTGTGGGACTGACTGTGCAGCTCCAGGGGGGTTAGAGCTGCAGTTCCCCCCCTCCCCCCGCCACTGCCCTCACAGCTCCATCCATGCCTCCAGCAGCCAGGCCTGCGCTGGGCCCGGGGAAGGAGGGGGATCATGGGGAGGGAGGAAGGGGGTTGATTTGGACACAGTCACCGATGCCCCAAGGCAGGAGCCAACAGGGGTCTGGGGACAGCCCCTACAGGCCTGCAGGGGCCCTGTGGTGGCCTCCTAGGGGACATGTGTGGAGCTGGGGAGTGTGGAGTTGAGCCACCCTGGAGGTGGTGTGAGGGGGAGCTGCAGCGGAAGCCTGGGCTGGCAGGAGCTGAGGACGACTGCCGTGGCGGCCCCCAAACGCACCTGGGCTGGACCAGGTGCTCCGTGGCTGGACCCTCCCCTCAGGGCTATGGCCGTGTGTGGCACAAACGTGTATGCATGTGGGCATATCTGTGTGCATGTGTGCACACACATATGTTAGTGTGCAAAATGTGTAGAGACGTGTGTGCGAAGACATGTGCACAGGTGCAGGGGTGTGGGTGTGTATAAGCCTGCACACGTGTGTGCATGCCTGGGCATGCAAGTGGAGGCATGTATAGGCGGGTGTGTGCACACACGTGTGCACAACACAGTCACATATTTATGTGCTGTGTACACACGTGTGCACGTGCTCACAGTGCTGCATGTACCGCTAGAGTGAGGTGGGGACTGGGCTGCTTGGGCTGCCCAGGGCGCAAGTAAAACACAGCGTCCAGGCTGCGCTGTGGGCGTGGGGTGGATTCCAGGGGAAGCTATTCCTACAGAGTCGTGGGACCTGCAGTTTACAGGTTGGGCTCCCTGGGAGGTCCGTCTCTGGGCATCTTCTCCCCTCTCCCACAGACGCACATGCGCTCCAGCACCGACCCCAGGGAGTCTCGCACAGGGCAGTGGCGCCCTGAGTCTGGCACTCCTAGGCCCAATGACTGTCCTGTGCAAACTGGGAACCTGCCCTGATGTTAAACGGGGGTGCAGAGGTGTGCGCCCCCGCCCCCTGGTGGGGCGCCGACACGTCACAGGCCAGGCTGCGGGAGGGGGAAGGGCAGCACGCCCTACCACCTGCCCTGTCTGCCTGGCTCTCCTGCATGCGGCATCTCTGCCCAGCCGCCTCTCCCTCCAGCTCTGGTGCTGGGGTTGGGACTGCTCTGCCAGCTGCCGCTTAGCCCCCCGCCTTCCTGGGGCATGGCCTCCTCGCTGGGCCAGGGACCGCAGTGGAACGAGCGGGCCTGCTCACGTCAGGCTGGGCCCCACCACCGCCACTCCAGGAAGTTCTGGGGGTTCCGGCCACAGCGACCCCCACTGACCCTCCTATTTTCTCTCAGCACAGCGGAGTGTTACCGACAGGGGCACACAGGCAGAGGAGCAGGAGCCCCTGAGCATCTCTGCTCAGACAGCAGCTGACCCTGCCCCCTGCTGTGCAGCTGCCTCCACCCCCTGGGCCTGGTACCTGGAGTCAGACAAAAAAGCCAGGCCTGCTAGGACCCCCAGGCACCTGGCCCTGCATGGCTGACCACCCTCCACTGGCAACAGGGCCGCCCTGCCCTGTGCTGGCCCACCCTCCCAGCCTTGCCCCTGCAGAGGGCCTTGGCTGGCTTGAAGCTCGGAGGCGGCATCTGGAAATGCAGGAGCTGAGGAGCACAGCTGTTGGGCCTAGCGTGGGCCCTGGGCAGGGCCTCCCTGGGCAGGGGCCTCCCCAAAATCACTACCTAGTCCTGGTCTGAGAGCTGGGTCTGAGTCTCCACACACTTATCTGTGCTCCCCAGTAACCTGAGGGGCTCCACCTTGGACAGATTCTCACTAATCTGGTAGAAGACTCGGCGGATTAGCCCCCTTAGAACACTTGATCCTGCTTCTCTGTGTGTAAAACCCCAAGCTCCGGCATCTGTAATCTCCTCCCCCGAGTTGCATCTCTGCAGTGGCGGACACCAGCGCCCGCCTCTGGCAGGGCCTTCTCCCCACTGTCCACCTGAAGGCAGGAGGCACTGCCCAAACCAGGTCCTAGCTGCCTGCCAGGCCTGGCCCGAGTCACCACCTCTCGGAGACTACAGGGCCGCGGGGCCATGCCAGTACTGGGCAGCTCTGCTGCAGCAAGACTTCCCGCAGACACACCTGCCCTGGCCAGTGCCAGTGAGGATGGGAGGCCCAGGGCACCCTCTGCAGCCAGCGGGGTCCCAGAGGCCAAGCCTCACCCTTGGCCTGTTGGGCTGTGACAGGATGGCAGGTGCTGTGGTCAGTGGGGAGATGGTCATGTGTCCATTAGTCCCACGGGGTCTCAGCTGAGGGTCCTGGCTGGGGGAGGGGACTCAGAGCCAGCCGAGCCCACCTGCGCAGGCAGAGGTGGGGGACCCAGGCCCCACCGCAGGCCCACGTGCGGTGCAGGACTTCTCGAGGCCCCAACTCGAGGCGCCATACCTCCTCCAGGGCCCAGAGAGCAGACCCTGGTCAGTCCCGCCCTGTGGCCCACGCCCTTGTCAGGCAGGCCCCTTGCTCCGAGGTGGCCTCTGTGGCTGGTCCCCCAGGACAGGCCCCCCCCAAGCAGACACAGCACCGCAGGCCCGCTTGCCATCAGGGACCAACCCCTGAGAGTCCGTCTACCCGCTCCTGCTCCTGCGTCTGGGCCTGGGGTGGCAGCTGTTGGTGTCTGGAGGGGCTGTCAGCAGAGTGGGAGGCGGGGCCGGCCAGAGACTGTTAGCAGAGAGAGGGCACCTGTGGGGGCTGCAGTGACCAGGCCTCAGGATGGTAGAGCATGAGTGGACCCCAAGGGACAGCCCCTCTTTCTCCTCCAAGCTGGACATGAGTCTGCAGACTCCGCCTTCAGTGAGCCCTGGACAGTGCATCCTTGCGGGGCTGGTGGCCCAAGCTTACCCTTTACCCTGAAGGGCTGTGTCCACTGGGAAGGAGTGGCCACGCCCTGCATTAAGGCCACATCACTGCTTCTGAAGCATGTTCCCACACCACAGCCACTGGGCATGCCGGGCCCCCTGCCAGGGACCCGGGCACCTCAGGGGCCACTGTAGGCCCAGAGCTATTGCCCCCGCCCCCAAAGGCCACGAGGACAAGGCTGCTGGCCCACGGGGCCCAGAAGAAGGGCCAGCACAGGCCTCGCACGGATCTGCTGCCAGGCTGGGTAGGGGCACCAGCTGGCAGGTGCCCTGAGCCCCCCATAGGGTCTGCACAGGTCAAGAGGGTGAGGGCTGGGCCAGGGAGGACAGGGCAAGGGCCAGCGGTGGCCCTGCAGGGGCAGGTGGCCCTGAGGCTGCACTGTGCTGGCTCCTGCCCTGGCGGGCTCCCTGCACCACCCCTTTGCCCAATGCGCTCAGCCACTGTCTGCACATGGGGCGTCGCACCCCGAGAGCACAGCTCGGGGCCATGTGGGAGCATCAGCTGTGGGTGACAGGTCGGTGGCAACAGACAAAGGGCCCACATGTCACCTCCTACTCGCAGAGGCGGAGCCCTACCCACACCACGCTGGCAGCTGAGCGCTTCCTGTGGCTCCTGCAACAGCGGGGCACATAGCGAGGGTGGTTGGGGGCACCGGGCACCCTCCGGGGAGGGGCACACCTGGCTGGCGGTTGTGGCAAGCTGGGGCCTGACCCCGCCGACCCTGCCCTGAGGCCCCCCTCCCACCCCAGCATGCATGGGGCCTGAGGGGAGGGTCGCTGCAGCCCTGCTGTCCCCACGGTCTCAGCACAGCAGCGGCATGTGACACGTAATGACTGTGTTTTGCTTAATACAAATTGGGGTTATTGGCCCCCAAACCAGTGCCCTGCTGAGCTCCCTGCCTGGGCCACACATGCCCAGACCCGCACACAGACATCGCCTATGTCTCCGGCCCCAGCAGGCCACTGCATGTCCGAACCTGGACACTCCCCTGTCCAGAGACCGTGAAGCCGGCCCATGACCCTCAGTGCTGAGAGGGGACACCGCACACCTCTGGCCCTCTCATCCCCCACAAGGCCATGGCTGATAAGGACGCCTGACAGGAAGAGGACTGGCAGTGGGCCGTACAGGATCCTGCAGGTTCCAGTCTGGGGCAGACGCTCTGGACCGAGAGTGGCCTAGAGGGGCATTGGCTGCGTGGCCTTTGTCCGTTGTCCTCACCCTGGCTCTGGGGCAGCTGAAGAGGTGGCTGGCTCAGAGGGCAAAGCTTTGCCCAACACACCACAACCAGCTGGGTCAGACTTGCATGCTCTAAGAGCACTGTGCCCACATACCTCACCCCTAGCACCTTGTCTGCACACCCTCACTGCCCCCCAGGACCGAGCCTGTGTCCCCTCCCTTGCACCCA